AATGCTTAGACTCTCACACAAAAGTTTGATAATGAAAATGTTTTTTGAAATTCTGAACACGTTGATATTGATAGTGATTTTCTCGAAAAAAATTTATAAAATTTCGATAGTATTAGTAACTGTAATTAGTTGAAATGACATTTCTCTACAATTTAACTTCTAGTTGGAAAAAAATATTTAGATTTATATTTCTATGAAGTCAAATTACTCAGCTTTTCAATTTATGCACAAATATTAGCTCAAAAAATAATGCATCACAATCAATAATTAAGACATTCGTTTTTTGTTGCCATTAAAATTTTTGAACAAATAATAGAAGTATTTGAAGACATGCCATTTTATTTATTCTTATAAAGCTTTTTGAGGATCTAAGTAAGAGAGAAATTTTTATATCAATTTACCCTAATCAAAGAGTTCATTGTATTGGTTGCTGCTATAAAAATTATGATGCAACATCATAGTTTAATAGATCGTTATAATAAATCACTTTATAATTATTTTTTATAAGTACACATTCTATTGTTATACTAATATTATTTTCATCAATCAGATTGTTAATGCAGTATTCATCATTTGAGTCCTAAATTTATTTATATTTGTATTCTGAATATTATATATGAACTATCTGTTTGAATATTGTTATTTTTTGAATTAGACATGTTCTATATCAATCATTGATATTGAATAAGATAGAAAAAAGATCAACGTACAAATTATATCAATAATTTTATATAGGTTGACCAATTGATATATATATCTGTTCTCATAATTGTATATTTTTTTAAAGTATTGGTCACTATAATTTTACTTTATGCTCAGGTTTGTCAGAGATTGAGTCTGTGAAAGATATTTATCTGAATGACATAAATTATGCTCCACAATTGAATAAATATTCTTGGATGTTATTGTATTGTGAGTTTAAATGGCTTATTTTATTTGTAAACATCTGATCTGTTCTTTAAGTCTCAAAGGGAGATGACCACTTAACCGATGTATTTTTATCATTTATTTTTATGTATTTTGCAAATGTCTCAGGGATACTATTGAGTTGAAGCTATTATTATCTATGACGTTTGTTGCAATTAGTGCATTATCTAATATATATCCATTATATGTAGTAAGAAATATTTATTCTTGTTTTTATTTTCCTTCAACAATCTATTAACATTATTAATAAGAATGAAGAATCAATTGATGGATTAAATATTCCTTTATCCAAATGGATGGTAGCTTACGACACATAGAAAAATAATATTAATTATGCTAATGAAAAATAATTGATTCTATATCTTAAATCAATAATGTACATATAATACATTTTTAACATAAATAGTTTCATCGTTCAATCAGCTTGTTTGGATTACCTTCAACAATCTATTAACATCGCAAACTTCAAGAAAACAAATAAGCTAATATATTTTAAATGATTCAAATACAAAGAATATATTTGAATGAAATTGAAGTTGCTAAATTTTGAAAAAAAATTATTTTTCTATGATTGATTTAATGTAAAATATACTCAATTTTTTATTAAGTTTTCTTTCCAAATTCTCTATAAAATTTATCATTGGTTAATGTATAAGTCATTAATTGACTGCCTAAACAATTAGACATCCAACCTTAATCACAAAACGCTGTCAAATCTAAATTTGAAATTCCAAAACAAAAATATATCAATCCGTTATGTTTATTAATCATAATAAAAGAATAACTGTAAATTAAACTCTTCTCTTCTGTAAGTTTGTTGTTCAAGCTATACCATTTTGGAGGATTCTTAATTTAGTTGATGTCCTAAATAATACAACCAAAGTGGAACCATCAGGGTGAGTTTTGCAAAATTCTAATGTCAAATCCCATTAACATTAGACTAAGAAGTAGATCTTCATATTGAATAAGTGCACATTCTGAAAATTTTATGTTGACCCCTACACATCAAACAACACCCAAAAGGACAAAACCCGCGAACAAAACAATACGTGTGTCGACGCGACACGTCAATTGAAAGGTCAAGTGACCTCCTATTTCTAAACATACTAAGCCGTTGCAATCAAGATGTCAAGTTCGCATAAGTGGAGACCCCTCGTAGTCAAATTAGATGAGATATGTTCAAAGGGATGATCGACACCCGAAATTTGTGCGCAACGTTGCCCAAACGATGTCCATTCTCAAAACGGACTTCGTCGTTGCGTTTGAAACATCGTCAATACCTAAGATTTATTATCAATTTGCCCAACTAAATCGACACAAAAAATGAGAAAAAAATGCACACAAATCAAGAAAACGCGCTAATCAAGGCATTTTATTTGAAATTAGCGCTCGACTGTTATTTTAATGAGAGATGACATGGTGCTAAAAATAAAGTTATGATTTGCAAAATAACAAATTCTAACTTAAATATGAATGAACATGTATAAGGTTGGTGATGTAAAAGAAATTTGCAAACACCTCTTATTTATTATAATTTTTGGAAGTTATCGGACCTAATTATCTGATAAATTAGGGTTTGTTAATTAAGGGGTGTAAAGGCTCCTAAAAAATTCTGGAGGGTTTAAGATGTCACTAGTTTTGACTTAACCCAATCAGCACCGCCTGGGTACCGTCAGATCGAGCGCAATTTCGATTCGACGGCCGATATCGCATCGGACGGATAGCGTGATCGTGGGATCAAGATCCACGTTCATTTCGAACCGCGGAACGACGGGATCTTGACCGTTGATCGCGAGATCAACGGTCGAGATCACCTACCCGGAGACGTAGACCGAACCCGAACCCTAGAATACACAAGTGGCTCGTTCTCTCGATCCAGACGTCCAAATTGCATGAAATTTTAAACTCTAATCCTATGAGTAAGGAGCATTCATGGGGGACTTATTTCGCGGTCTAAAACGCGCTTTTTGAAAAGTTATTTGACCCGAAGTGTTGTGACATATGCACAGTTGACTTGTAGATTGTCCTCGTATGATTCTCTTGTTGAAACCGCAACCAAACGAGCTCTTGGGAATTGGCGTTGGAACGCTTTTAGCTTCGGTTGGCCGGAGATCTCGCCGCCGGCGAGAGTTTAGCGGCGGGTTTAGGTCAGAAAAGATGGGAGAAGGTAGAGGGAACTCCCACACAAAGTATCACAACTCTTCGACGCTTAGTGAGAGAGATCAAAAATAGCTCCCATGAAAACCTTAATTCTCTCTATTTAAGGCCTTAGATTCATCACCAACGGCCTAGATTGCATCAAGGCCTAATTGGGAGGGAAATCAAGCTATGATGGCTATGACTTGCTCAAAAGATTAATATGAAGGGTTTTGAATGGGTTAAAGGCCTCAATTTGACTTAAATAGGTCAAATTGACCATAAGAAGACCATGTTGACCAAGTCAAGGGTTGACTTGGTCAATCTAATCAAATAAGGCCAAGGGATGAGTGTAGATTTGAATTAAATTTGATTTGACCCAATATGGCTAATTGGCTCAACTTGAGTTGACCTGGTCAACTAGGTTGACCCAGGGCATAGGTTTGGGCCCAATGGGTTGGGTCTGACCCATTGAGTCTAGGGAAGGTGAGAATTCAGCTTTGGAAGCTATGAAATTGATTTGAGATCAAATAGGAGTTTAGGTTAATTTGGGTCAACCAGGTTGACCCAGGGCATAGGTCTGAGCTCAAGAGACTCGGTCAGACCCATGGAACCCAAAGAAGGTGTTCTTGGGGCCTGACTTGGTCAATATGACCAGATCAGCCCTTTGACCCAAGTCTAGGTCAAAATAGGGTCAACAATCTTCTAAGTCTCTCTATCAACTAAGTCCACCCTAAGTCTACAAGGTATCCTTGGACGACGCAACCCATGGATGGCGACAAAGATCCTTCTGTCAAGTTGGGACGACGAAACCATAGGATCTTGATCGGGTCTATCATCAATTCTCCCACTATCTGCTTTAAGTCCAAGATGGTAAAATTTCAAAATTAAAATATCAAGTCATCAAACATCTAAACCAATGTTGCTACTATATGTCAGATATCACTCATCTACGGGTACAATGTATTCATTTGAAGATTAGCCTTAATCGAAAGTTCTCTCTCGTTATCGAGAGGTGTAATTAACTATAGGGGCTTGCGCCTATAGGAAGCTAGAACTCATATCATAATGTCGCAAAATGAGGTCAAATCCAATCTGCCTTCTGAAAATTTATCCAAAACTTAATCCATTAAAACTTCCCCGAAAGCAGGGAAGGCTGGGGATCAAATTTTTGGAGCCCCCAGTCTTACTCAGTTCCTATTGCTTCTCTTATTTCTGTCAGTTCTAGTAGAGTTTAATAGCTAAAAATAAAGTTCATATAATCCAATCATCAATTTATATCGGCTGTATTTCTAGTATGCAGTTTTATACTACGAGTGAATGCATGATTGCAAAGTCATCCAAGAACTTACATAAAGATTAAAAAAATAAAAAAACTCCACCCTTGGTCAGATCATTGGCATAAAAAGGGATGAATAACTTCATATTGATTAAGCTTTGCTTTGTCACTTTTGTTAACAATGTCGAGTTGGCTCTTCTACAGTAAGCATGCTAAAAAAAAGTTCTTGTAAAGACTATGAAGCAGGTGAATGTGTTCTACAATCAAAATGCTCCTAACCAAGGGCATCTAATTTTTCACTAAATATTCATATTTGAGCTTCATCTTTGCTAATTAAACAAGTTTGAACAAGACCTTGAGCTCAATTATATGAATTTGAGTCATGCTGAAGCTTCGTAAAACAACGAGAATTCTCCACAAAAGTCCACACAAAAACAAGAAAATAGTAGATAATTAGTAATATTTGATGAAATGGAAATGGAAAATACCAAGATACAATTGATCCTTTATTCGAGAGGAGAATCTTTCTCTCCCAAATCTCTAGATGTAGCTAGAGCCCAAAGGAAACCTAAAATCTAATAAATCTCAAATTTCAGCCAAATTCAAGATGGCCTAACCCTAGGAAAACCAACTATTTAATGCATACAAATTAAAAGAAAATCCCTAAACATACCCTACATTCAAATTTCCCTCTCAAAACCCTGAAAAATCCTTCTTAAATGACTCTGCTTGGGCGTTCGGACCGTCCGATCTCCGCAAGAGGCGGAGATCCCGCCTATGTTGCGATGGTCCCATGCGGACCGGCTGGACCGGTCTAACATATTTCCCTTAGTGTTACTTGCGAACTCAAGTATTTCCTATCACATACAAATTAGGCTGAAGATTTACATCTGTTTATTTCTTAAGGAACTTCGGCAAGGTAGAGCAAAGTTAGTTGAATAATAAGTAGACATGGAATGAGTAAATTTCCTTTTAAGCATCCAATGTAGGTTACTCATTGAGCACTGTATGGCCACAAGATGTTCATCTGCGAAAAAATATACTAAAATGCTAGCTTAATAGACTTTTCAGAACTTATCACTTGATTGCAGACCGAAGGTTGACATACATGTATATTTCTGCAACTTAAACTGAGGATCCTTTGATATAAGTATTACAAACTTCCCAGTATCCATAGTTTCAATTAATGAAGTCTCTTTTGGTAAGCTAAATAATTTTTTTTGTTCTTGTGGGTGAGTAGTTGGCTTGCCGCATGAAGCATCAATAGTAAAAAGTTATGCAACTCATCTTGGTCTGTTGATTGAGAGCTTTGGCTACCAACCAAGAGGTTTTGGGTTCAAGTCTTGCGTATGTGATGTGTGTGAGTTTGTCTTAATTGGCCTAAATATTAAAAAAAAAAAGTAAAATGTTAAGCCATAGTAATGTTTGTCAATTGTATTACAAGGGGATGGTCAGTTTGCACTCGAATCTCAATAGGTGTAACAGATCTCTTATTCTCATTTTGATTCTTTATTGGGATGTCCAGCTATTGATTAGATGTGGGTACATCTTTTTTATTTCTATTTAATCTTAGGCTCCTTGTATTTCATTTTCAAGCTTTCTAATGTTTGTGCTTTCATGTTCTTTAGGGATATTTTCAACCTTGTAGGCTGTCTCCTGGAGCCTGCTACTGTAAGTTTCAAAAATAATTGCTGAAATTGTAAACATTAGTTATTATGTATGTGATAATGGGCATCAATGAAGAGCATGGGCGGATCCACCAAGGGCTTAGGGTGGGCAAATGCCCACCCTCAAAAATTTTTTTTTTAAATATTTAGAGGGGATATTTTGGAATATTTTGGGTATTTTGGACATTTTGCCTCCCATAAAAAAAAATTTTCCCTACTTTTATCAATCATAAGCATCTTTGTCCATCCCCCACAATTTTTTTTTTGTCCACCCTAAAAAAAAAAGCTGGATCCGCCCCTGATGAAGAGCCTTTTTTAATTTATTTTATTTCATTGGTGGCAATGCGCACATATGCATGAGTAGAGGTACAATTTTATTGGACTACTGCATAACACAGCTAAGCTCTTTGTGTGTGCTCCTGAGATTTCTCATCTACATCTATTTGTGTGTGCATGCATGCAAGTGGTGGCACAATGCACATATTCTTCATGTGCATATATGCATCTTTTTTGTGGATTTTTTGTTCCATTATTACCTTTTCTTGCATGCATTTTTTATTTGGTTGAAAATTGCGGAAGTTTCTCATTTATTATTTGTTACTCCAAGAGTTCCTCTACCTTTATTCTCGTTGACTTCATCTGTGCTACAGTTTGCTATTACAATTTTTAGTGTATCTGAATTCCCCAACCTTGTTTCTCCATGGCGTCAACTTTTCTTGAGTTTGCTATTACATTTTTAGTTTATATTTACAAAATTATTGTCATTGATGGGGAAGCTCCCCAATATTTACCCTCCATGGCTTAAATTACTCCGTCAAGCATGCGATTTAGTTATGCAAGTTCTTTCATGTACTTTGCCTTTCTGAATTCTACTTTTGGTTATTGCAGTTGAAGACCCAATTTTACATGGCATTGGTGAGTTAATTTTTACTCTCTCTGCTCGCTTCTTCTGATGCTATTCTCCCTTCTTCCTGATGGAAAATATACAAATGTGAATTTCCAGTTGTACACGGCAACAACAGCAATCTTGACTGCACAAATAGTATACTACGGTCATATTTGCCATCGACTGGAAGCAAATAAAGCTTGTAAACCGGAGAAGGTTAGGATTTAAAGAACTTTACGTAAAGCCAACTTGATAAGTTTGGTTGTTTAAGAGTTGAGGTTAACCAATTGCTTTCAATTGCAACGATCCATATAGAGTGACCGACGTTACTTTATGTAGTTTCTCAATCAAATTTGAAAAATGTCTCAAAATTTTTGTATTACCCATAAAAAGTTGTGATCCTTGTAACTTCCTAAGCCTGTTGACTGTTCTAAGTTTATGGCCAGGTGAAAATTTATTAATTAGATTATCAGAATCTCAAATACTGTCATAATTGAAAACCCTAAATGCATGTGTTTACTTGTGTTTGTTTATTTCATTTTAATAGAAGTTTTTAATGTTAGCATAAGTCTATATGTACATGTTTAGGATGCTATCGTATCAAGAATGTTTGATCCCAGCTTGGATTCTTATTCTCTACCACTTTCTGGAATTCCATGAGACTACCTTAGTTTATATTTTCATCCTTCATGCATTTCCTATTGGTGGACTTCTGGTTTTACTCTCCATTCTTGCGGTTCCCTAGAGTATTTTTCTCCAATAATATTTTTGTAGCCACCTCTAGTGTCCCTTGACAATTTTTGTGTTGCCAATATTTGAGGCTTCCTTTGTTTTTGGGCTTTGACCCTTTTTTTTCCTGCTGCTATCATCTCTTTCAGCTTTCTTCCACTACTATCTGGCTCTAAAAACCTTGACAACGGATTACTCGTTGATTTTCTATTCCCTACATCCTTGAGTGTGATTCCTTTGCTTCTATGAAAAATCACATACAATTTTTTTCCCCTCAGTAATTTGTTGAAATTGAACTTCCAAAGTTTTTTGTGGCTATAAATAAAGGGTATGAGGTATGCACAAAACTCGATAATTGGTACTTGAATAAAATGATTAGTTTTATGTACTATTCCTACTTTGGGGATTCACTTTCATGAAGTGAGAGGCTTAAAGAGTTTCTAGAGTAGTTATTGCGGGCTCCGAATATTTAAGGCCCGATCTCTTCTCATTTCGGGAGAGTTTAAACATATATGTTCTGGGTTAAATTTTTGGAAGGCAAATTAGTTTGAAGACAAGACACTATCTATAGATTTCGACCTTATTTTGCGAGAACTCTAAGATTTGAGTTCATGTTTCCCATAGACAAAAGCTCCTATGGTTAACCGTCTCGGTGACAGGAGAGTACTTTCAATTAAAGGCTAATAATTAGAAAAGTATTAAGTGTCTAGCATACAGTAGCACCTGATTTGATGTTTAAGATTTGAAATATATGATCTTGCACTTAAAGAGGATGGTGGGCGAATGATGACTAATCCGATCAAATTCTCATAGTTTCGTCATCCCAGGTTGTCATGGTCTCAATATTCTTATTTAGAGGAGGTAGTTGACTTAACTTGATTAAAGGATCTTTATCAGTAGCCATGGTTTGCTTTGTCTGAGGTATCTTGTAGACCTGAGATGATTGTTTTCCTAAGGGGATAAATTGAAGTCGTCTGAGCTAATAAAGCATTTGTGCTCAATCAAATATACCGTATGATTCATTACTCAAGGGTTTTAATTATTGGGGAATATATGTGCTTTAGTCGTAACTGTAATATAAAGGTGCCTATCTTCGATAAAACTTTATTGTCAAAGGGCTCGATCATAACCATTTTCTTGTGATGCTAGTTTGCATTTTGCGATAAAATCATAAGTTAGAGGGCACATGTCATATTTTTATTGACGTGAGATTATTTTAGAATGAATATTATTAATATTGATGAGGACATCAACAAGAGATTTTGGTGTGTTTATTAGAGGAGGCATCGAAGATCGACGACCACGATAAACTAAAAAGTTTCTTTAATTCCCTTCATAAAGTAACCTATTATTAATTAAAAAAGTTTCTTATTTGAATTCAAATTAATATTTGAATTTGAAGCACTTTCCTTATTGATAAAACTATTTTAGGAAAGCCCATAATTACCTCAAAATTTGAAATTAAATCAAATATTTGGTTTGAAACATCATTTAAATTAAAGGGTCCACATACATTAAATCTAGATACTCCCTACCCTTCTCATATGGTCGGCCCCTCCCCTTGGCTTTTCCCTCTCCAATTAATCCTTAATCCTTATTAAACTTCCCCTATAATCCCTCCTAAGCCACCGGCCCCTATAGCCCAATTTAGGATAATTTGGAATTTAAATTATTATCTTTCCCTCTCTTAGAAAATTTTGAAATATAATCCAGATTTTCTAAGTTCTTCATCCCACCTTCCTAGCCCTCCCCTCCCTTTCCCTTCCTACCCGAGAGCTCCCCTGCCGGTTCTTCCCCTCCCTTCTCCCTTCACAAATCGTCGGCTCCTCCAAGGATCCCAATAGAGAAGACTCCCATATTCATGGATAGCCGATCCTGAAGTCGACCACGAATTCGCTTACAATTCTCAAGGACAAAAATGATATCCTTCAGTCGTCATTCTTTGACCCCGACTAGGAGTTTGAAGACTCCATAGAAGACTACGTCGACCTCATACTATTTCATCTAGACGAGACAATCGACGAACAACGACCATCCGGACAGTGACAACTCGTCGAACGTCCACCTGCGCCTCCTTTGACTACCTTCCCGTGGATCAAGACCGTCGGTGCCCTAACTTTCTTGGTGGCATTGTTGAGATTGCTAAAAGTCTCTCTCCGCTAAAGCCGTTCGTCGAGTGTAAGTGAGAAAGGAAACTCTAAGTGAAAAGCTCTAAATATGAACCAACAGATTCTTATTACAACACATGTAGTTTTATTGTAATTTTTCTAATCTTATTTTAAGTTGTTCCGTTCTCCTAAAATTATGACTGCATGCCAAAGCAAAACGTCAAACGATTGTTCTTCAAATTAATTCTTATGACTCATTAATGTTAAAGTAGCAAGCTTTACAATAATTTTTTTATTTCCTTGCAATTCCTATTTATTTCACATCAAATATTCGCAACTCGACTTTAGCTCTTTATGAGCTGTAAGGTTATTTCATAGATTTATCACACTCAACAAATGTTTATTGAGGGTGAATGAATTTTTGCTTTAAGCTACATGGAAATATATGTCACTTAGCATTTTTAAATTTTGATCTATATTAATTTTTTTTAATTTTATTGAGATTGAAGCCTTAAGTGATTAATTTTGGAATTTGGGGCATTTTGAAAGTCATGTAATCCCCACTGGTTGAGATTTTTTGTCAACTGACTATCACCAGGGTGTCTTTTGAAGCCACTTTAAATATTTATTTTTGGAACTTGAAGATTTGATATTTAAACATAGACCTCTTTGGATGAGATATACTTTCATCACGATCATTACTGAAGAGGGTTTGACACTTTTTTATTTTAATATTTGAACCTTGTCATCTCTACTAACTTCATGGCAGAGGATCAAATTCTATTTGAATTCATGCGACATTTTAATGATAGTCTCCTACGGCTGAGATTCACTTTCAACGCAGCCATCATGAATGATGGTTTAACCTTTTTTATTTTGCTTTTTGAATCCTATCAACTCTGAATAATTGCTACCAAACGCTCAGGTTCAATCTGAGTTAATGTGGCATTTTGATGATAGAGTCCCTTCCAATTGTAATTCACTTTTAACATAGCCATCATTAGGTATAATTTAACCGGTTAACCCTACACTTTTTATTTTTATATTTGAACTTTGTCAACTTCATTATCTAAGTTCATAAAGCATTTTGATGATATAGTCCCCTGATGTTGAGATTCACTTTTTATATCATCATTATCTGGGATTTTAAGTACTTTTATTTTGTTATTTGAACATTAAACAACTCTAATTGCTTGGTAACAAAGGATTGGGTTCAAATATCAACTTTTTGAATTGTTATACGAGCGTTAATTCTTCTGTAGTAAGTTTCTTTTGAGGAAGACATTAAAGGCCTAATGCGGAAGTAAAATAAAATGACTTTTTGATCACACAATCGTATATTTTCTTATTAATTCAAATCTTGTCAACTCCAATCCTTGAAAGGTGAAGTATTGGATGTAAAATTTACGTTCACGTTAAACCTGCACAGCATTATTGAACCTTGAGTTTCAGAGTTCGAAGGACTAGTCGGAGCACAAGGTGTTTAAAAAGATAGATTTTATTTAGCTTCCCTTTTAACCTCACATAGTTCAGACTTTCGCGTTTGTGTTTAGAATGTTTGTCGGAGCATATGCGGGGAATTCATATTAATTTTTAAATGACATGATGTTTTTTTATGCTTTTGTATAATGCATTTGCATATTTTTTATACATTTGCATAATACATTTCCATGTTATTTCTTGTACTTACAAGATGTGCTTGCATGCTTTCAATTTATTGGCACATTTTTTGATTAATTTGCATGGCATATCCTCATGCTTTTCAATGTATGTTATTTATTGAACAGTTATATAAATATCTTATACTAAATTTCTGTCATAGCCATTCAATTTCATCCCACTGCCGTATCATAGGTCAGTGTATATCTCAAAATTAAGGTACTGCTACAGTGATTTAATTATGTGAACAGTAACATTAAAATCCGAACTTAGGAATTTTAATTGAAATGCATTTTAATTTATATATGCTTATAGAATCAAAATTATATATATAAACCATTTGTAGGATTTTATAAGAATATTAATTATATTAATTATAAATTTTAAGAGGGGTGAAAATAAGGCATAATATTTTAGATAAATTTTGGGATTTTAATCTCAAAAAATCTTAGAATATTGCAGCTATCTCATGCCAATGTGCTTTTTATGAGGACTTATTTTACATTTTTACAGTGTTTTGCTTCAATTTTCACGTGATCATCTGATTGCAGATTGACGAGCTTGAGTACAAAGCAAAAGAGAGTTTGGTAGGGAAGAACAGCGATGAGAGGGGAAAATCTTAGAATATTGCAGCTATCTCATGCCAATGTGCTTTTTATGAGGACTTATTTTACATTTTTACAGTGTTTTGCTTCAATTTTCACGTGATCATCTGATTGCAGATTGACGAGCTTGAGTACAAAGCAAAAGAGAGTTTGGTAGGGAAGAACAGCGATGAGAGGGGAAAATCTTAACATTTTGAGAACTTCATATATATACCAAATTTCATGTAATTGATCCTGATACCACATTTAAGGTGCTTCTTGGTCGTCCATGGTTGCATGAATACGATATAGTCCCGTCAACGCTACATCAATGCATGAAGTATCTCAGGGATGAAGAAGAATTCAGGATATCTTGTGACATCCAAGTAACAATCTATGAAGATGCTAAATACTTCATTTCAAAGAAGTTGAAGTCATCAAGCTCTCTTGAGACCCAGGCATCGGACCCAGAAATTACAAAACAACCTAAACAAGAAAATAATAAGCAGGTTGGGAGAAAGAAGGCAACGTTGACTCTCTCCAAAGCACTTTTCATTCCTAAAAAAGGAAATACATACCTCACTTAGCTAGTGACACGGATGAAGATGATGTCACACCTACCAAATCTCAGAGGGTATACCACAACTACCAAATGGAGTAGGGAAGTTGAATACTCATGATGATTATGCTACGACTCTATCTATATGAATGCGGTACATGATTTGTTCTTCAAAAGAATAGACAACCTATGAATTTCAGATAGTGTACTCGTAGTCATATGTATTCACCTACAACACTTTAAAGAAGTTATTCCTCGAGAGATGCATAATGTTGAAGAGCTTGTAATATTCTATGTACCTCCCCAAAAGAAAAGGGTGGACCAGCGAGTCTATTTTATTCAATAGGAAAACTCGAAGAAGAAAGAAATTGTGACTGGTTTCGTACACGTTGATTCCGGGGAATTAGTACATTTAAGATTTCCCAGGTATAATATCATAAACATCCAAAGAATATTACAAAAGCGAGATAAAACCTGTTCTTCCAAACAACAAGTCATTTCTGCTTGAGCCTCTGGTATCGAAGGAATCCTCACTCATTAAAGAAGAACGATATTTTTGCAAAAATGAGTCTGGGATTCATCGTACTGAAGTACCCTCAAAAAGAGATTTGCCGAGCAATCACATGTGGAGAAATCAAATCCTATGATGATGGTGATAATGTGTACGAAGTTGACACATATGATGATCAACCCGTAGAGGCCAAGCCTGCCCCAGAAGAGCTTGAAGATGGTGAACATGCAGTTACTATGGATAAATTAAAAGAAGTTAACTTGGGAATCAAGGAGGATCCTCGCCCAACCTTTGTTAGTTCTCTCCTGCCCGATAAACAAATAGAAGAAATAAAATAACTTCTCTGTGAATTCAGTGATTGCTTTGCTTGAACATATGCTGAGATGTCCAACTTATCCCCTGACGTAGCAGTTCACATACTAGCCATCAAACCAGATGCAGCACCCATCAAGCAAGCTCCAAGGAGAATGAGATTGGAGATTGAAGAACAAGTAATTGCATAGACGAAAAAGCTTATAGAGACAGGTTTCATCCGAGAAGAAAAGTATGCTGATTGGATTACCAATATTGTCCCCGTAAAGAAGAAGAATGGACAAATTCGTGTATGTATTGACTTTCGGGACCTCGACAAGGCGTGTCCAAAAAACGATTTTTCACTCCCCGTATCTGAACTCCTAGTGGACAACATTTCCAATTATGATATGTTCTCTTTCATAGACGGATCGTCGGGTTATAACCAAATCAAGATGGCACCTGAGAATGAAAAGCACATATCGTTTAGAATGCTTATCGGCTTTTTCTGTTATACGGTCATACCCTTTGACCTGAAGAATGCTGAACTCACCTATCAGTGGACAATGACACTTATTTTTGATGAACTAATACACGAGAAGGTCGAGTGTTATGTTGATGGCCTGGTTGTTAAGAGCATGGATCGCAAAGATCACCTAAGTGATCTAAGAATTATATTTGAGAGAATCAGAAAGTTTGATCTGAAGATAAAGGCTCTCAAATGTGCTTTTGGGGTCTCCTTCGGCAATTTCCTGGGGTACATCGTTCGCCATTGAGGAATTAAAATTGACCCAACAAGATCAAGGAAATTATGAAGATGCCACATCCAAAGAACCTTCAACAACTTCGCTCCTTATAAGGATAACTAGCTTTCATTCGATGGTTCATATCGAATTTGTCGGGTATGTGCCAGCCATTTTCAAAGTTAATGAAGAAAGATGTCCGCTTCAAATGAAATGTTGAGTGCCAAGAAGCATTTGACAGCATCAAAAGATATATGCTAAATTCACCCATTCTCAGCGCCAATTCCGGGGAAGCCTCTTATACTGTACACGGCCTAGAAGAGTCACTCGGAGCATTATTATCCCTGAATAATGAAGAAGGCAAAGAAAATGCACTTTACTATATTAGTCGGAGGTTGATTGGAGCAGAAAGTCATTATTCTCCTATTGAAAAGCATTGTCTGTCGTTGATTTTTGTAGTTCAGAAACTTTGTCACTACATGCTATCTCATAGAATCACCTTGATATCAAAAGATCGATACGTTGAAGTTCTTGATGACAAGACCAGCGTTGACAGGTCGTCTAGTCAGGTGGGCAGTATTATTACTGCAGTTGGATATCACACACATGACACAAAGGGCGGTGAAAGGACAAGCTTTGGCAGATTTTCTAGTCGCACATCCTATCCCGGTAGACTCTCCGCTCAATGATGATTTTCCTGATGAACAAATCATGCAGGTCGAGGAGAACGAAAAGCTATCATTTTGAGAGATGTACTTCGACAGGGCATCCTTGATTAAACCTGCCCAGCCACCAAATATTGTAAGGGCCCGAGCCGCATCGGTCTCATTTTCGTAGCACCTGAGGGAGGCATAATGAGGCTTTCATTCAGTTTAACCGAACCTCGGACCAACAATAAAGCCGAATACAAAGCTCTAATAGCGGGATTGGATATCGCTATCGATGTTAGAATCCAAAATCTCTAAATCTTTGGTGATTCTCAACTTGTGATAAATTAGGTCATCGACATTTATAAGGTTGGCAAACTTGAATTAACTCATTATCATCGGCGAGCTGTTAAGCTTTTGAAACATGTGCCAAATATTAAAATAGATCAAGTTCCTCGAGTTCAGAATGCCAAGGCAGATTGCTTAGCCAAATTAGCCAAAGATGTGATGAACACCGGCGAGGAGATGCCTATACCAATTATGGTTCACGGTCGTCGGGTCCTAGAGCTGGCAATCTTGCATTTCTCGCGGACAGAGAGAATGCTAGATTCAAGCCAGCAAGATACAACCCTGGTTGATCTTCAACCTCCCCAACAGATCACTATTAAAAATCAACTAGAAGACGTCATATAGTCAAGAGACGTAAAACCAACAGATGCTCGGAGTCGTGGCTATATTGCTTAGACATTGAAGAAGGAGATGATTGGAGGCAATCTTTCAATGACTATACCAGGGAAAGTAAACTCCCAGTAGATAAATCTATAGTCGCACAAACTTAAAAAAGGCATTACGATATACGTTTGTTAACGACACGCTATATCGACGAGCTTTTAATCAGATGTGGTTGCAATTCCTAAGAACTAAGGAAGCTGATAAAGTGGTAGTAAAAGTCCACGAAAGGCTTTGTGGAGCATATCAGTAAGGTCTCAAAATAGCCGTTAAAATCAAAAGAATATGTTACTATTGACCGACCATAATAAGAGATTGTATTGACCACGCTAAGAGGTGTCATGAGTGTCAGATTCATAATGATGTTATAGATCAGCCACCAAATCCACTTCACCCAATAGCGTCCTGACCATTTGAATGATGTGGTACATATATAATCGGGCTGATAGATCCCCCATCATCGACGAGACATTGCTTTATTTTGATAACAGCAGACTACTTTTTTAAGTGGGCAGAAGCAGCTCCGTTCAGAGAAGTCACATCCAAGCATGTGATCAATTTCTTTACTCACAATTTTGTCTACAGATTTGGTGTGCCACGTCGCATAATCTCAGACAATGGTACTTCATTCAAAAGTACAAAAATTTATAAGTTCGTTGATCGGCATAAAATTGATTGACGATATTCATCCATATACAATTCGAGGGCAAATGACTTGGCAGAGACCTTCAACAAGTTGGTGAAATTGTTGAAGAAGATCCTCACCAAGAATAAAAGAGAGTGGCATACGAAGATCGCAGAAGCGCTGTGGGCATATCGTACAAGTTACAAAACACCAACCAAAGCCACTCCTTATTCACTAGTGTTCGGAGTTGAAGTAATATTACCATTAAAAGTTGAATTACCATCACTTCGAGTAGCGATCCAGAAAATCTCACTTAAGAGCAAATGCTCGCATGAGAATGGAAGAACTCGACGTACTTGATGAACTCAGGTTACAAGCTCAACAAAACATGAAAATCTATCGAGGAAGAATGACAAAATCCTTCGATCGAATGGTGCTTCCTCGATCATTTCAAGAAGGAGAATTGGTCATGATGTTGAGAAGGCCAATCATCACATAAGGGACTGAATGATTGCGTAAAACTCCTTACTGTAGGTCGAGTACCGTTGTCTGATATCATTCAACTTCTTGCTAAAATAGACAACAGGATGTCCCTCTTGCGACATAACTCCTCCTATACCAATACCAGACGCATCACAGGCACTTCGAAAACATTAGAAAAATCAGGAAGACGCATAACTGAGATCTCGACCATTCTCTTTTTGATCTCCTTGAATGCTTTAGTGGCATATAAGGTCCAATGGAATTCTCCCTTCTTTAGGCAGTCAGTTATTGGTGCCACTATCGTGCTAAAATTCCTAATAAATCTCTAATAAAAGGTGGCCTATCCATGAAAGCTTTGAACATCTCTGATATTTTTCGGTTCAGGCCACTTGTTAATCGCTCGAACTTTCTCAGAGCCAGGTGATATTCCTTGAGAGGAAATGATAAATCC